TTTTTTTTTTCTTTTTTTTTTTTTTTTTTGAGACAAGGTTTTATTAAGTTGCTCGGGCTAAACTTGAACTTGTGGTCCTCCTATCTCAGCATCCCGGAGTGCTGGGATTATAGGCTCATGCCACAACTCCTGGCTTAATTTACATTTTTTAAGGGTTTTTTTTTTTCTCTTTCTACAGAAAAGATAAAGGTAAATGTTATAAACGGATGAAAAATTAGATAAAGTGGTAAGAGACAGTTATCAAGAATGACATCGGGCTAAACTTGAACTTGTGGTCCTCCTATCTCAGCATCCCGGAGTGCTGGGATTATAGGCTCATGCCACAACTCCTGGCTTAATTTACATTTTTTAAGGGTTTTTTTTTTTCTCTTTCTACAGAAAAGATAAAGGTAAATGTTATAAACGGATGAAAAATTAGATAAAGTGGTAAGAGACAGTTATCAAGAATGACATCTGTATATCTGACCTACACATGTCCAAGGATGATAGTGCCACTCACTCAAAGAAAGCATTGTAGGGGGATCAGTTTGAGGGAAAAAAAGTTGAATTTCTGTTTCAACATACTGAATTTCTGATGACATCATCATTGATTAACTATCTTGTAGCTCATCAGCCTCCTCAACAATTCTAAGTTACAGTTAGCTACATATATCTTTGGGACGAAGGGACACTTGCTCTCAGGTTTGCTAATTTCCTATCATTGTAGGATTTCTAGCTGAACTGTTGGCTTTTATTTGGTAGGGAAAGGTAAAAGGAGAAGATCATCAGACGAAGATGCTGCTGGTGAGCCTAAGGCCAAGAGACCAAAACACCCCACAGATAACAAAGAGGTAATGGGGCTTCTTGATTAGGAATCCTCACCTGAAGCATGCCAGAAAGAGCACTCAGATAACAAGTGCCAAAAGAACTTAAAGGTTCCTGAGCCACGAAAATAAAGGATTATGAACTTCACTAAATATTGGCCAGGAATAGACCAGTAAACTCCATAGCTGTCTCCCTTCTGAGGGCTAACTTATTTTATGCATTGAACAGAGGTAACAGATTATGCAAAAAGAAGGCCTAGGAAAGTTTACATTGTTCAGTATGGCTGGAATATAAAAACCCATGGGGATTAGTAATGAGAACTGAGTCTAGAAAGATAGAAAGATACACTCAGGCCTGAACTCCTACTTGATACCTCTATTAAGATGTCTAGTAAGCATTTATTATCAAAGTTAGAATGGCCAAAATAGAAGGATTCCTGCCTTCTAATTATCTGGTCCCTTATAAGCTTCTTAATGAAGGATACGACCCCCTAGGACACCATCACTTGCTTAGACCAAAATCCTTACAACTCTCCAATCTCGCAGTAATACCTATCAGCCTAATTTATCTTGTCCCACCTCACCTTTTCCACTGCTATCTCCCTTGTCTAAAACACTAAAAACTCCCTTGTCAACCAACACCAGTACTCCTTAATGATCTCCCATCTTACCCACTTAATAGCCAAGATCACTTTCTAGTTTTGTTTTTTTTTGTTGTTTTTTTAATCATTTGGGCAGAGGAAGTAGCTCAGTGGAGTGGTAGAATACTTCTTAGCATGCGTGAGACCCTGGGTCTGATTCCCAGCATTGAAAAAAAAATCATGAATTAGATTTCTTTAATAGCTTCCTGTTATTCTTAGGAGAAATTCAAGCTATGAAGTATTAAGCTTACATGATCTGGATCGGGGATGGCGAACCTTTTAGAGACAAGTCCCAAAACTGCAACCTCAAGCCCACTTATCACAAAGTGACAACATTGCAGTTAATTTGAATACTGAGGTTTTAGTTTAGAAAAAATGACTCCTACATTAACATCTTTTGTTTTAAAAGAAAAACACTGACACACGTGCCATAGGTTTGCCATCCCTGATCTAGGTTGTTACATGATCTGATGAAATAATCCAACTCTTCCCATTCTCCCTCTTGCTCACTATGTTCTATCTACTGTTTTTCCTTCTGTCCTTCAAACATGTCAGGATTTTGCCTTCCACTTTAAATGCTTTTCCCATATCTTCATGTAGTAGCTGCTGATCATTCACCTGTATTAATGCTAAGTGCTGTTTTCTTAATGCTCAAACATCATTGCCCATCTACTTGAGTCCTACACATTTCCATAATTCATCTTCTTCACGGCATGCATATTCATAGTTGAAATTATGTGTTTTTGTTTGTTTGTCTTTATGCTCCCAGTTAAATATAAATTTGAGTGCAGCATCCTGTCTTTCCACCTGGAAACTAGCAGGGTCTCAGGAAATATTTTGTTTTGTTTTTTTGTTTGCTTGCTTGCTTTTTTAAGTAGGGTCTCACTTGGTATCCCAACCTGGCCCCAAACTCTCAATTCTCTTGCTTCAACCTCCTGGGTACTAGGATTACAGGTGTACCTCACAATGCCTAGCTTCAGCAAGTATTTCTCAATTGACTAAGCAGTTTGGATTTCATCCTGAAAGCAGTGGGGAGCAATCAATTGACTTTAGGAGAATGAGAATGAAGGGACTAGATCTATATTTTAGAAAGATTACTGTAACCTCGCAGTTTGTAATTTGTACAGCTCTATGAATGGATTACAGAGTACATTTGTACTTGTGTTCCTGTGCATTATACAGTGGAGCACTCCTTAGCTCTCTTCAGATTCTATGACTGTGACCCAAAAAGGTAAAAAAGCACTACTCTATGAGAAATGAAAATGATGCAAAAGCAACAAGATTAGATTCAGAAAATACAGTAATTCCTTTTATAGTGTCTGTAAAATCAATTGAGAACCTGTTGTTGTAATCCACTTAAGCCCTGATTAAAGCCTGAATACTGATAGGATAAAGGAAAGCATAGCTGAGTGTGATTGTACACACTTGTAATCCCAGCACTTGGGAGCACTGTGAGATCGAGGCCAGCCTAGACCATATAGTGAGACTGTCTCCAAAAAAGGCAGACATGTCCGAGGTGACAGATAATGGCAGTTACCTTGATCTGATCATTACACAACTTACACATGTATTGAAGTATCACACTGTACCCATAAATATATATATAATTAATTAACTTTAAACTTTAAAAAGAATCTGACTGGTCATGCTGGTGCATGCCTGTAAACTCAGGAGGATGAGGCAGGCAGAATTATAAATGTAAGACCATATGGTCAACTTAGTGAGACCCTGTCTCAAAGAAAAAGGTCTGAGGATATAGCTTAGTGGTAGAGCCCTTGCCTACCATGAATGAAAGCCCTGGGTTCAATCTCCCTTACTGCCAGAAAAAGGAGCGGGGAGGTACCACCAAGAATATATGGTGCCATAAAGTCCAAGGTGATGTTTGTTATGTAAGGAAAAAATAGCCAACTATGTGGTATACTTATAAGACCAGAACTGGAAAGTATTCTTCATTCTTTGACCTTAGCAATAAGAAGGTCCTTAAGGATGGTAGAATTTCACTAGAAAGACAACAGTCGACGTTTCAGTACAATGTTGGAAGTGGGTTGAGCTGATCTGGATGAAGTAACTCACTGTGAGGTTGGCTATCTCTCTGAGAAGTTTAGCTCTGACAGGAAGAGGGAGACATAGGGTTAAGGGAGAATTCTTGTAGAATAAGAGACTTCAACAAGAAAAGAAAGGCTGGCGAGAAGGAGAAACTGAAGAGTTAGAGGACAGGAAGGGCAACTGAGCTGGATCCCTGAGAATGAAAAGGCAAGATCTAGAATAACAGTGCGGGCACTGACCTTAAATAAAAGGAGGAACACTTTTCCATCATTCAAAAAGTGAGTAACAATACAAATTGAGATAGAATATATGTATGCACAAAGTTGAACAAACTTGAGCCTAATGAGTTCTGGCCTAATCACTTCTATTTTCTCTGTGAAATCAGGCAGGGTCATCTGCTGCAAGTAAAAAGGGGGGATCAAGTAGGAGACTAGAGGGTAATGGAGGACAACTAAAATAGAGAAAGATCTGAGGTGAGTTTAGAAAACCTGTTTGAAATTGGAATTTATCAAGATACTATCTATGATTGAATGATTTTCCCCCCAACCAATTTAGTTGCTACTATATAAGAAAAGAAGTGGTGAACAGTTAAATCCAAGCTTCTCTCCAGAAAACCCTGCATTGTATTTCAGTGTTTCTCTACAATACTTTTCTCTTCCTTAGCCCATTCCAGATGATGGGATTTATTGGCAGGCCAACCTCGACAGATTCCACCAACACTTCCGTGACCAAGCCATTGTGAGCGCGGTTGCGAACAGGATGGACCAGGTAATATTCCAGTGAGTCTGTCAGTGGTCATCGGAAAATGAAGGCATTCTGTTTGTTGCCATTAGTGAATTCTGAGTTCCTGTCTTCCTTTCAACCCCAGACGAGCAGTGAGATAGTGCGGGCCATGCTTCGGATGAGTGAGGTTACTACTTCCTCTGATGCCCCCTTCACCCAGCCATTATCTTCCAATGAGGTGAGTTTCATGTTTGTATGCTAACTTCCTGACAATGTTCTTGGGTATTGCGGCAGTTTTTATACATAGAACCTGGATTAGGTGGAAGCCTAAGCCTTGAGAGAAAGGAAGTGTTGTTCACAGTGGGGCAAGCATTACCTTCAAGTGGTTAGACTGAAATGCTTGGTCTCTTGGGATCCAGCTTTTAAAAACTGACACCATTAGCTAGATGCACGGTACAAACCTATCACTGCAGCACTCTGGAAATGTGAGGCAGGAGGATTGCAGGTTCAAACCCAGCCTGAACAACTTACCAAGAACTTGTCTCAAAAATAAAAAAGGTCTGGGAAAGTTAATCTCAGTGCAAAGGGTCTGGGTTCAATCCCCAGTACTACCCCAGAAAAGGACGTGTGTGTGTGTGTGTGTGTGTGTGTGTGTGTGTGTGTGTGTGTGTGTGTGTGTGTGTGTGTGTGTGAACATGTGTGTACATATAGCTATATTTTTAACTTAATATGTAACAAAGGTAAATACAAATTTTTCTGGTCACAGAAGTAACTATATGATCCATATTCAAATAGCAATGAAATGTGTCATTTTCAGTTACAGTCCTGAAAGTACACTTTCCAGAGTGGTAGAAATGTTCTGTATCTTCTTGTAACTGTTAGATATATGGATTTATACAATGGTCCTTATTCATCAGACTGAACCCTTAGGATCTGTGCTTTTCATTGTTTGTAACGTACCTTCATTTAAAATATACAAGTTTGGCATAGTCCTAGAGAACCTTGTCAGTAGATTGTTTTTTTTGTTTGTTGGTTTTTTTTTTCATACTGGAGATCAAACTCCAGACCTTGCAAGGCAGGTGCAGTGCCACTGAGCTAAATTCCCAGCCCAGTTTGGTGTTTGTTTGTTTAAGATTGGTATATATCTTTATTCAGACCTTTTTTTAATACATGGTCTTACATGGGTATATGTATTTTTTTTAACCCACAAATTTCTATATACTATTCTATAACTTATTTTCACTTTTGTTTTGAGGTGCTGGGAATCAAACTCATGACCTTGCATATTCTGGGCAAGCACTCTAGTGCTGAGCTATATCCACAGCCCTATAACTTCTTTTTATGACAATATAAAACTTCTTTTCATGGCAGTACTCCTAGATCTCTCATACTTTATCATTTCACTTAATGGCCAGGCTGTAATTTAATTAATTCCTTATCACTGGTTTGTTTGTTTTTTTTTTGGTACCCGGGATTGAACTCAGGTCCTTGTGCTTACGAGACAGGTGGTGGAACCACTGAGCTAAATCCCTGGCCCTCACTGGTCATTTAGATTGTTTTTTGTTTTTTACCTTTAAAAACAATGCTAGTGTAAATAGTTTTGGACATTTTTATACTTGTGATATCTAAATAAAATGTTTTACTGTGCATGATGATATACCCCAGAAATCCCAGCTACTTGGGAGGTGGAGCCAGGAGGATTACAAGTTCAAAGCCAGTCAGCACAACTTAGACCCTGTTTTTAAAAAAAAAAAAACAACTGGGGATATAGCTGTAGCTCAGTAGAAGAATACTTGCCTACTATGTGTAAGACTCATTTCAATCCCTATTGCTACAAAAAAATTTTTTTTATTTTAATAATATCAGCGATTCTAAATTCTGAGGACCATTTTCTACAATCTGCTTTTGCATCATAGATCTTCAGATCGCTTCCTGTTGGCTATAACATCTCTAAGCAAGTCCTCGACCAGTATCTCACTCTGCTTGCAGATGACCCAGTAAGTCTGTTTTGCTGCGGTTTTTTCACCTGCCCTTTTACAATTTCCTTCTGCCTAAGTCAGTCTCCTATTGCTACATTCTCTATCAGATCAATTCCTACAATTTCCCTGCCATCACCTGAGAGGAAAGTTACCCACTGCAGACTCTTGGCTAGATTTTCTCCATTGGAAACAGAATCACTAGACTTTTCATTCAATTAATGCTCTGTCTCTCTTTCTTTTTAATAGCTGGAGTTTGTTGGAAAGTCTGGTGACAGTGGTGGAGGAATGTATGTCATCAGTATCCTTTCCAGTTATCCTTACAGTCAGGCAGCCTGAGCCATGATGCAGAATGCTATCTTCTGAAATAAAGATTTGGTAATAGTATACTAAATCAGAATATTGAAGAAATTTCCTATTAATGTTTCTATAAATTTTCAATAAATTAATTAATGGTAATCAACCAGAAACACCCTTACTTAATTACCTTCAATTAAAATTTTAAGATATTTATATACCATAAATTAATGCAAAAAGTGAAATAACATTTAATCTTTTTTTTTTTTTTTTTTTTTTTTT